ATAAAATTGGGATCGATATTTAAAATAAGAAAAAATAATAAATATATTTAAAAAAAGAAATCAGAGAAACATCACCCTTTACAATAGCCACAAACAACATAAAATATCTTGGGGTAACACTAACCAAACAAGTGAAAGACCTATATAGTAAGAACTTTGTGTCTTTAAAGAAATAAATTAAAGAAGATACCAGAAAATGGAAAGATCCCCCATGCTCTTGGATAAGTAGGATAAACATAGTAAAAATAGCAATCTTGTCAAAAGCAATCTACAGATTCAATGCAATCCCCATCAAAATCCCAGCACAATTCTTCACTGACCTTGAAAGGATAATAATCAACTTTAAATGAAAAAAAAAAAAGGACCCAGGATAGTCAAAACAACCCTGTACAATAAAGGACCTTCGGGAGGCATCACCATCCCCAACTTTAAGCTCTACTATAGAGCTATAGTCCTGAAAACAGCCTGGTATTGGCACAAAAATAATCCAATAGACCAAGGGAATCGAATTTAAAATCCTGATAATAACCCACATACCTACAAACAACTAATTTTTGACAAAACAGCTCAAAGTATACAATGGGAGGAGGAAAGCATCTTCAACAAAGGTGCTGGCACAACTAGATGATGGTGTGTAGAAGACTGAAGATAGACCCATGTCTATTGCCATGCACAAAACTTAAGTCTAAATGGATCAAAGACCTCAACACAAATCCAGCCACACTGAACCTCTTAGAAGAGAAAGTTGGAGGTACCCTTGAACAAATTAGTATGGAAGACGGCTTCGTGAATATAACACCAGTAGCACAGAGATCGACAATTAATAAATAGGACCTCCTCAAACTGAGAAGCTTCTGTAAGGCAAAGGATATGAGTCGACCAGACCAAACAGCAACCCACAAAGTAAGAAAGATCTTCACCAACCCCACATCTGATAGAGGGCTGATCTCCAAACTATACACGGAACTCAAGAAACTAGTCAACAAAACACCAAATAACCCATTAAAAAGTGGGGTACAGAACTGAATAGAGAATTCTCAATAGAGGAATCCAAAATGGCTGAAATACACTTAAGAAAATGCTCACCATTCTTAGCCATCAAAACAACTCTGAGATACCATCTTACTCCTGTCAGAATGGCTAAAATTAGAAACACCAATGATAGCTTATGCTAGAGAGGATGTGAAGAAAGGGGAACACTCCTCCACTGCTGGTGGGAGTGCAAACTCGTACAGCCATTTTGGAGATCAGTATGGCAGTTCCTCAGGAAAATGGGAATCTGTCTACCACAGGACCTGGCAATTTCACTCTTAGGCATATACCCAAATGATCCATATCCATGAAACAAAGACATCTATCTATTCAACTATGTTCATAGCAGCATTATTTGTAATAGCAAGAACCTGGAAACAACCTAGATGCCCCTCAACCGAAGAATGGATAAAGAAGATGTGGTACATTTACACAATGGAATACTACGCAGTGGGGGAAAAAAAACAATGAAATCTTGAAATTCGCAGGCAAATGGATGAAACTTGAAAAACCATCCTGAGTGAGGAAACCCAGTCACAAAAAGAGGAACATGGCATATACTCACTCATATATGGATTTTAGACATAAAGCAAAGGATCACCAACCTATAATTCACACTACCAGAGAAACTAGGATACAAGGAGGAACCTAAGAGATTCACACAAGCTCCCTCACAGAAGGGGAAAGGGACAAGATCTCCTGAGCATATTGGGAGGGGGGAGTTAGGAGAAAGAGAAGGGGAGGAGAACGAGTGAGACCTGGAAGATTGAGTCAGGGGATGAATAGATGAGAGCAAAAAAAGATACCATAATAGAGGGAGCCACTATAGGTTTGAAGAGAAAACTGACTCTAGAGAAATGACTCTAGAGAACTTTAAATGTTCTTCCCTGATAATGAGATTGATAACTAACTTATATGCCATCCTAGAACCTTCATGTGTAGCTGTTGGAAACAGAAGCAGACACCCATAGCTAAACACTAAGCCAAATTCCTGGAATCCAGTTGTAGAGAGGGAGGAGTAATAAGAAAACGGGTCAAGACCAGGCTACAGAAACCCACAGTCCGCTGACATGAACAAGGGGGAGCTCATGGACCCCAGACTGATAGCTGAGAAACCAGTATTGGACTGATCCAGACCCCCCTGAACATGGGTCTCAGTTAGAAGGCCTGGGTAGTCTATGGGACCTCTGGCAGTGGAATCAGGATGTATCGATGATCACTCCTAGAAGGCATCACACTGCCTGTGGAGTAGGTGGGGAATTGGGTGGGGGGCGGGGGGAGGAGAGGGAACTGGGATGGATATGTAAAATAAGAAAAAATAATAAATAAAAAAAGAAAACACAAACAGAAGGGATTCTGGAAAACAAAAATCTGAGTAAATGAACAGAAACTACAGGTGCAAGCATATCCAGCCAACAGAATGCAAGAGATGGAAGAGAGTATCTCAGGTGTTGAAGATACGATAGAGGAAATAAATTCATCACTCAAATGAAACATTAAAGCCAAACAAAATGTCCAGGTAATCTGGGACACCATGAAAAGGCCAAACCTAAGAATAATAGGGATAGAAGAAGGAGAATACCAGCTCACAAGCACAGAAAATATATTCAACCACAGAAGACAACTTTCCCAATGTAAAGAAGGAATTGCCTATGAAAATACAAGAAGCTTACAGAACACCAAATAGATTGAAAAATAAAGTTCTCTTGGCACCTAATAATCAAAACACAAAATAAACAGAACAAAGGAAGAATATTAAGAGCTGAAAAGGAAAAAGGTCAAGTAGCCTATAAAGGCAGACCCATCAGAATAACACCCAGTTTCTCAATGGAGACTCTCAAAGCTAGAAGGTCCTGGGCAGACATTATGCAGACTCTAAGAGACAGTGGATGCCCAGCAAAACTTTCAATCACCATAGATGGAGAAAACAAGATACTCCAGGACAAAACCAGACTTAAACAGTACCTATCCACAAATCCAACCCTACAGAAAGCATTGGAAGGAAATCTCCAACCCAAGGAGGTTAGAGGTACCCAGGAAAGTACAGGCAATAAATAATCCCACACCAGAAAATCCTTAAAAAAGGAAACACAAACACGCACACCACCATCAAAAAATAACATGAATCAACAATCGCTGGTCATTAGTATCCCTTATATCCCATTGATATCAATGGACTCAACTCACCTTAAAAAGACACAGAGTAACAGAATGGATGTGAAAACAGGATCCACCCTTCTGCTGCATACAAGAAACACACCTCAACTTCAAAGACAGACATTTCCTCAGAGTAAAGGGTTGGGAAAAGATTCTCCAAGCAAATGGACCTAAGAAGCAAGCTGGTGCAGCTATTCTAATATCTTACAAAATAATCTTCAAACTAAATGTAATCAAAAGAGATGATGAAGGACATCTCATATTCGTCACAGGAAAAATCCATAAAGAAGAAGCCTCAATTCTGAACATATATGCCCCAATTACAGGGGCACCCACATTTGCAAAAGAAATATTACTAAAACTTAAATCACACATCAAACTCCAAACACTAATAGTGGGAGACTTCAACACCCCACTCTCACCAGTGGACAGGTCTTCCTGACAGAAAATCAACAGAGAAATAAGGGAACTAACAGATGCTGTGACTCAAATGGGCTTAAAAAACATCTATAGAACATTCCACCCAAACACAAAAAAAATACACCTTCTTCTCAGCACCCCATGGAACCTTCTCTAAAACTGACCGCATACTTGATTACAAAAGCAAAAAGAAAAAAAATGAAATAATCCCCTGTATCTTATCAGATCACCATGGCTTAAAGTTAGAATTCAACAACACAAATTGCGGAAACTCTACAAACTCATGGAAATTGAATAATGCCCAACTTAATCACCCCTGGGTCAAGGAATAAATTAAAGATTTCCTAGGAGTCAATGAAAATGAAAGTATAGCATACCCAAACTTATGGGACACTATGAAAGCAGTGCTAAAATGAAAATTCATAGCACTAAATGCCTACACAAAGAAGTTAGAGAAATCCCACACTAGTGAATTAACAAAACACCTGAAAGCTCTAGAAGAAAAAGAAGCAAACTCACCCAGGAGGAGTAGACGACAGGAAATAATCAAATTGAGGGCTGAAATCAATAAAATGCAAGTAAAGAGAACAATAGAAAGAGTCAATAAAACAAAGAATTGGTTCTTTGGGAAAATCAACCGAATGGCAAACCCTTATCCAATCTAATCAAAAGGCAGAGAGAGAATATCCAAATTACAAAATCAGAAATGAAAAGAGGGACATAATAACAGACACTGAGGAAATCCAGAGAATCATCAGATCATACTTCAAAAACCTATACTCCACAAAAACGGAAAATTTAAAAGAACTGGACAGTTTTCTGGATAGATTCTACACACCAAAATTAAATCAACAACATATAAACAATTTAAACAGACCTATAACCCCTAAGGAACTAGAAGCAGCCATCAAGTTTCCCAGCAAACAAACGAATGAATGAATGAATGAATGAATGAATGAATGAATAAATAAATAAATAAATAAATAAATAAATAAATAAATAAATAAAAGCAAGCCCAGGTAGGAAATGCATAAGAAGGTCAGGTAAAGAGACCCAGAGAGGGAGAGGCCATGCTGGACCAACAGGAACAAGAACGCACTGGATGTCCCGAGCTGTGGGACTAGTGGACAGGGGAAATGAGAGCTTGGGCGGGGTTGGAGGGTGGGGGGAAGACGGGGTGGGAGGAAGCAATAAACAGAGCAGCTAGGATGGGGGCCGGGCAACAGAAGGGCTAGGGCTGTGCCTTTCTGAGCTTGTGGTACCTCCTCCCTTCGCGTCTCCCGAGGCTGAACCTCCGCAGCAGCCCGCCCCTAATCTTCTGGCGGAGGCTTCGGCAAAATTCAGTTCAGTCGTGAGCTCTGCCTCGGGAAGAGGGTCCTCGCCACCGCACCTTTCCGCTTGGCGGGCCACAGTCTCTATGCGCTGTTCCGACCTAGGCCTGTGACCAGTAAGTCGGGGAGGTGGATGAACCGGGTGAGGCTGGGAGGGAAGAAAAGAGGGGGGCGGGGAGAGAGGCCCTGAGGAGGATGGAGCCGCAACCCAGACTGCTGGTCCACAACTAGTCGGAACCCATCCTGATCAGTGACCTGCGCGGACTGCTGGCCTGAGCAAACCCGGGAAGGGTGGAGCTGGGGAGGGGAAGAGAAAAACCTATTTTGGGTCCCGGCCTGCCCAGAGCTGGTTGTTTGCGCTACAAGGAATCGCGGATCTGAATTCTGCTCCCCACCACCACAGCCGCAGCCGCAGCTGCAGCCCCTAGCTGAAAGGTTCAAGCGAGGTATCAGGAGATCTAGGTGCCAGAGCAAATCACAAGGCCGTCCATTCTAACACTAATCTGGGTGTATTGAGGGCTCTCAATTCCAAACTAGCGTCCTCCATACACTAATCCATCCCCAGCCCTTCCATAGACCCGTGTGCAGAGCTAGGGATTTTTACCCCAGCCCCCAAAGCCTATGGGCCCCACCGAGGGAGCTCAGCAAACCCCGCCTCCACTCTATCACAACAGTAAGACGCTACCCTGTTATTGACCCTTTCACCTCACCCCATCTCCACATAGCAGAAGCCCCAAACCAGAGACCTGGTGCAGGAGGTTAAAAGAGCCCCTTGCCCAGCCCTGAGCCTACTGTCCTCCAAAATGCTGGGCGTCCTCTGTCTCATCACCACAAAAATCAGAGGCTCTTTCAGCCCTTCAGATTGATGAGCCTATTCCCAGACCCTGACACCCCCTTGCCCAGGGCCTAAACCAAGCTCCACCCCTTCACAGAAGCTGAAGCCCCTTCCACCCTCTTCTCACAGATTCTGCCCAGTAGAATGAACTGGACTGCTGCCACGTGCTGGGCTCTGCTGCTGGCCTCCGCCTTCCTCTGTGACAGCTGTTCAGCCAAGGGTGGCCGCGGAGGCGCTCGAGGCAGCGCCCGCGGGGTACGCGGAGGCGCGCGCGGGACATCAAGAGTGCGCGTGCGGCCAGCACCCCGCTATGGCTCCACTCTGCGTGTGGCGGCTGCAGGGGCAGCCGCAGGTGCTGCAGCGGGTGTGGCTGCGGGCCTTGCCACCGGCTCGGGCTGGAGGAGGACCTCGGGGCCTGGAGAGCTAGGCCTGGAGGATGATGAGAACAGGGCAACTGGAGGCAATGGAACTGACCGAGAAGTCTACAGCTACTGGGCCTGGACTTCGGGCTCTGGGTCCACGCCCAGCCCACGTATTTGCCTACTTCTGGGTGGCACCCTTGGTGCCTTAGAACTGCTTTGGCCCTAGATCAGGCTAGCTCCGGTCCCAGATCGGCTCCTAGCCTGCATCTTTGGGGCCCTAGGACCTACCCCAGTGGTCTCCAGATCAGAAGGTCACTTCCTTTTGCTGACTATGGTTCCCCCACCCAGATGACAGTCTGGGCATTCTGAATCCGCAAGATCTCTTGCAGTTTGTGGACATTGTCTACTCTCTTGCCCATCCCAGTTTCCCAATCTTCCACATTGGCAGGAACACCTTCACTGCCAGGAAGGCAGGCAGCACTCCACTCTCCAGAGCAGCCCAGGAGGAAGTACCAGGCCATGCCTATCTGCTTGCACTGAACACAAAAACATGAATAACCACCGAGAAGAGGCCATCCTCAGGTGAGCCTGTCTGATTTTGCCACTAAAGCCCAAAAGATCTTGGGCCTCCCATGGAAGCAGAAGGAATAGACCACTTCCCTCTGGACTTCACACTTTGGTGAAGATAACATTCATTTGGACTTGTGTGAGAAATGTCAGGTGCTAACCACCTGCTCAGAGCAGGTCCTAACGATGTCACAGCTCAGGAACATCCAGAGCAGAAACTATCCATCCCAGGACACCCTCTGTGGTCCTCCTAGAACATGCTACCAAGGCCACTGTAGTGTTTCTTCACTGAAGACTGCGTAAGAGACTTTCTGTCAGGATTCCCCACTTGGAGTTACTTGGTCATAGGACCACTTAACTGTTCCTAAGATCCGCTGAGGGTAGGGCTTCCACATTCAGAAACATTCCACTTCCTTTGAACTTTAGGTTCACAAGTGAGGGTCACTTGGATACAATACCAATCCTACTGCAGCCTTCTTTGTACATGATCCAAACTGCAATATTCCCACAATGCTGGTGGATAGCAGCATCTTGTGCTGGGAGACCCCCACCCCCTCCCTTGGAAACAGATAGACCAGGGTATGGCACAATTGGCAACTGGAAGCCTGCACACTGGAGAAGACAACAGTTCTCCAGGCCCACTACTGCCTGAGGAAAGCGTACAGACACAGAAAATCCAGCAGGTTGTGAGTGTGGGCTAACACTCCTATAAGTTTTCTGACCATCTATATCCATCCTGAGAACAGAGCTGATGCCCAGGGTGGCCTCAAAGAGATGCACTACAGTCCTCACATGGATCTACCTTTGGGCAGACTGGCTCCTTGCTGCTCCAGGGTTCACCAGCACATCCTTGCCCCATGGAGTGATGGGTCTCTGGGCTCAGTCAGTATACACAATGCTAGCCTGGCAAACCTCTGGTTAGCCAAGCATTTTCTTGACCAACAAGTTGAAGGATGCAGCTCCCTGCACCCTCAATCCACACTGCCGATGCTCTCAGGCACAGCCAGCCCAGATGCTTCTCTGTCCCTTAGAGACCAAGCTCAATACTAAATCCAGCAAGTCAAGGGCCAAGCCCACTCAGGGCCTCAAAGGCAGGTACCATCAAGTCTGGTATAGGAAGACCCACTAGAGCCCATTCAGCTTGTCAAACCCCTATGAGGATGGGTTATGTGGACCAGACCTTCACATACCAGAGTACCATGTGTTAGTTCTGGACATAATGGAAACATCACCTTTTAATTATTTCACACACCAACCTGACTTCTCCAGTGTTTAGCACTTGGCACAGTCACACATGTTCAAATACCTTCTCTACTAGTAGGAATCATAAGATGCTGAGGGAGAATCTCAGAGGCAGCTTATCATACTGTAGCCACAAGAGGCAACAGCAGAAGGCTAGCCCCTATTATCAGCCATCCACAAGAAGCAGAGAGCCTGCTGAGCATCCAAGCACTGGTTCAGGCAACTATGGGAAGGCCAGATCAATATTGGACAGAAGAAACTAGAACTACTGAGCAGGTGTAGCCCAGCTTGTCCAATAGGACTTCCTGTCTATATCAACCAGTACCTTCCCTTTTTCTTTCTAGAAAGCAAGCTGCTGGCAGCAACACACTTTAGATGCCTACAGGTAGATGGAGGTCCACCATGCTGGGATACCCTCTACACATCCCACAGGCACCATGGTACCAATGGCTAGATGGTGGTCCCCTTCCAGTGCTCCTCTAGCCTGTGAGAAGTTGAGCCTACAGCAGATGTCCTGAGATACAGGCTCTGAAAGTACAAGGGGAGAGGACATTTCTGGGCTTTTCTATTCCAAACCTCCTGTTGATGTCTGTGCACACATGTATCAGTGAAGAGTTCATTGTGAAATAAAGTCCTCTGCTGGTAGCAAGCTTCTTCCTCATTGCAGGACTTTGAGACACACGCTTATCTGAATTAGGAACCCCAGTCCCTAATCTACCAATCCCCAGCATTCACTGGTGGGAAGGGACTTAACTTATGGGTGCAAAGTACTAAGTGCACAATGAAAAGGCCATCAGAAAATGGGCTTTTAACCTGGTATCATGGCACACACCTGTATAATCCTAGCACTTGGGCTGGGGCAGAAAGAATGCTTGTTTGAGACCAGTCCAAGCCACATAATGAAACCTTGTCTCAAAACAACATAAATAAGTAAGTAAACAAATAAATAAATAAAATGAGAGACAACCAGAGGAAGACTTTTATTTAATTGTCTTTTTAATCCAATTTTTTAAAATTACAGACTATAGCTTTGACTCCTCTGAGATAGCATTAACCTCTACTTGAGACTGAGAGAAAACCTCCTGACCAAGCCATTTACACAGGATCCCTGGGACCCCCATGGTAGTAATGAGGACTGACCAGACTAATGGACAAGAGAACAGAGTGCCCTTTGGAGCTGGGGCCTGAGTCTCAGGTACCAACACATATAGCCTCTGGGTAGGGCAACAGTTCCAAGCTTTAGACCCTCCAGCTGCAGTTCAATGGAGTATGCAGAAGACCATACTCCAGCCAGCCAGTTCAAGGGTCAGCACTATCAGCAAGTAGACATAAGATCACGGTCCAGCATCACTTGGCCCAACAGCCCGCTGCGGAAGGTCCGGAGGAAGTCTCTGGCTGCCATGGCATAATCAGGCTGGATAACATTGACATTACCTGAGGATGGAGGGTCTAATGAGAAAGGGGCCTCTAAGGACAGTCTAGCCCTAAGAGACCATTAGGGGTACCATCGATGAAACCTGAGGAACAGAGAGTGTTCAGAAAGAATGTTCGCATCATATCCACCCAGCAATGCCCAGAGTTAGGACCACTCTGAAGCCTATATTCAAAGTCCTTCCTCCCTAGAAATTTCCATAGTTCCCCTTCCCATGTCCTGGGTCCCTTCTGTGTCTCACTCCTGTCCTCCAGAAAAGGTAAGGGTCCCAACAAGTGACAGAGTAAGGGCCCCACGCCACCCAGTGCAGCTTCACTCACCTGTGCCTGTGAGCACTTTTACTTTCCGGGTCTTCCCCAGCTTCACAGCCACGTTCTTCAGCACCCACTCTATGTGGTCACAGGCACTGGCCAGGCCATAGTGCTGCACGTACCTGCAAGCCCACAGCTCAGGTCAGACTCCCGTGAGGCTCCACACCTCAGGAGGATTCCCACTCACCCCCACCTCAGAGGAGTCAGCTCCTGGGCTCCTGAGAGGACCAGACTGCTTCCAGGCAGCTTAGTATTACGAACAAGGCTGAGAAACTCTTACAGAAAAGTAAAGACTTGTCACCCCACAAGGTAAAGTTCAAATGCCTGGCACCCAGTCCAGGCCTTCAATGGAGAAGAGTAGGTCAACTTCAGCTGACCAGTCAGTGCCTGGATGTTAACTGGTAAGCACACTAGCAAGTCAGCTGTTATAACTGCACACTAAACCGTCACAAAGCTATGGCAAAGCCATGTGAAAAGGGTCTGAAGTGACTTCTCTAGGGGAAAGCTCTGAAGAACAATGGAATAGAGACAGATAAGACACAGAGCTAGAGAAGATGGTTGACTGGACACTACAAATGCAGACCAGAAATAAAGTATCCTGAGCAGTGCAAAGGGGCCCGGCCACTAGTGAATCAGGCACCTGCATGGGACAAAGGTGAGAGGTCACAGCCACCTGCACCACTACAGAGGTGAGAGGTCACAGACAACCTGTAACCACCACAGAGGTGAGAGGTCACAGCCACCTGCACCACCACAGAGGTGAGAGGTCACAGCCACCTGCACCACCACATAGGTGAAAGGTCACAGCCACCTGCACCACCACATAGGTGAAAGGTCACAGCCACCTGCACCACTACAGAGGTAAAATGTCACAGACAACCTATAACCTCCACAGAGGTCACAGCTGACCTCTGTGCACCATGGCACAGGTGAAATTTGGTCATTTGGAAATTCGGTAAATATTAAAGAAAATCTCATGTTCAAGAAACAAGAGTAGAAACTTCATTGGGTCTCCACAAGGACAGCCAAAATTGTGTAACATGTTAGCTCAGTATGGGAAGCTCTCTCTTCTTATAATGGTAACTGTCTACACAGCAAGAGATAACAGCAGTGTCTCTGGGGTGCACAGACCATGCAAAGGCAGCATATGATGACGGTATCACATAAGGTAGGGAGAGAAATGGGGCCTGGCTGTTGCAAGATAACTGAGATGCTCTCAGAACTCTGTTCACAAAGTCACGGGTAACAATCTAGAAAGCACTCCACAGTGGTAGTGTCTTAGCAACATCCTCAAAGTACAGAAAACTGGAGCTGCAGACACCAGCAGGAAGTGGGCAGATCCAGTAATGGCTGGAAGTTTAAACACTCTTCTTGGTGATTCACAGTACAGATAGGCAGATAACCGGCAACACAGAAATGAGGACACCGTAAAGACCAAACAGAAATCAAAGAAGTTGTAGCCGGGCATGGTGAACACGTGTAGTCATTCCTAGGACTGGGAAGGCTGAGGCAAGAAGAGCTCACCTCTACAAAGTGGCCCAGACATTCTCCTGTGTTTTACCCAAGAGAAGCAGAAGTTCCCATCACATAAAGACAGGACATGACAGTTTCCAGAAGCTTTGTGACAGCCATTCCATGTCCACCAGAGTGAACAGATAAATCAAGTGCAGGATATCTAGGTGATATATAGTGAGCTCAGCCACCAAAAGGAATGTAGAGCATGAATAACTCAGAACAATCATGCCCAGTAGAGGATGCCGGGTGAGAGAGGTTGTATCCTGTACCATTTCATTGACAGAATGTTCATCTACTTCTACCCACACACAAGGGATTAAGGAAGAGACAAAGTGAACCAAGGTCTTAACTATGTAGCCCAGGCCGGTTTCAAACTTATGATCCTATCTCAGCCTCAGAGTACTGGGATTTGGGATATGTACTACCACACCCAGCAGAAACCACTATCTTGTGTGACAATATGATGTGGTCATAAGTCAAAACTTGCCAAATCACACACTTGCAATAATGTAAGATTATATAATATTTTAATGACTTATTTCTAAAATCATACCTAGATAGGATGAGCAAGCAGCCCCCACACCCACTGCCACTCACCCAAATAGCCCATGCTTGTTGAGGGTGTAAAGGAGGTAATCAGCCATGGTCTCTTCCCCAACAAGGTGGTCCAACACAGTTCCTGGAAGACAAGCAGCTAAGGCAAGCCCATGGAACAGTGGACAGCTGTGCCCCACCAAGCCCTAACGCCTCCCAGCTGAAGGCAGAAGACCCGGAACCTCCCTGCAGGATGGCTCACAGCTGTGGCCTCCTTCCTATATGGTATGTGACTTGGTTGCCACCCCCATTACAGGGCAGAATGGCAGCCAGCACATGCATGCTGTGAGCTAGTCTCCATCTCAAAACCATGAAAAAAAAAATCTGGCAGCAGAAAAGGTGGAGGAAGTACCAACCCCACCTGCCTAGGGGGCAGTCAAAGTCAGCAATGGGGCAAAGGGACGGCCATCCCTAGCCAGGGCTTACCACACAGGGCCAGCTTCAGGCCTGTCTCCACACTTTCAATCCGAGGAGCCAGCACCCCAGGAGTATCCAGCAAGAACATCAGTGGACGTTCGCACACCTGTGCAGCATAAGGTGGATCAAGTCAGGCAGCCTCTGCCCAACAGTCAAATCCTTGCCAGAGACTGTGAGGCAGGCCTCTGCATAAACCCACCCATAAGTTGTCTTTTGCACTGAGGTTTACAGTCTCCATTGGGTATCATTTCTGCTTAATTTGAAGAACAAATAAAAGCCCAAGTACCATGGAAGGTAAAAGGGAATGTGTGAGTGTGGCTCTGGCAGGTGAGGTAAGAAGGCTGCCTTCCGGACAGATTTACATAGTAGAACTGGAAGGAGCAAGAGAGGAGGGAAAGGAAGGAGGTCAGAGGCCAGGCTCAGTAGAGCCAGCAAAGCTCTGGGCAGAGCTCTGGGCTCAGCAACCAAGGACCATACCTGGATTCTGGATGTCACAGCTCTGGTGATTCCTGGCTCACCGCCCACTCTGGTAGCTTTTCCTGAAAAGACAGGAGAGGGCCCATCAAATATTTACAGACAGCAATAGAACAAGTAATGAAATGTATTTAACTAACATATCCAGGAAGCAGAACAGAAACCAGAGGTCAATAGTTGTCAAATTATAATCTGTCCCTTATTGATCCCGAAGAACACATGGTTTTCAAAAGCTAGGCACAGTAGCCAAAGGCTGACAAATGCCCAAAGCTCACTTCCCAGTGTAGAGAGTTGCCCTCTGCTGCAAAGGTCATCCCAGACCTGCTTCTCCACCTCAAAGCCGGCACCACCCTCGATCCCAGCACTATGGGTGCCTGGCATGGGACCCAGCCCAGGGAACCCCAAAGAGGCTGCCTATTCACTGCCAACTGCCACAGGAGTAAAAGGATCAAAGTGTCCATCACAGATGACCAGAGGAATGAGATATAGAAGGGAATAACTTGAACCTAAGGAGGAGGGAATTGCTGAAAAAGTCCCAGCATTGACAAACCTAGAACACTATAGAAAGTGAGATAAGCCAATCCCAGCACTCCTTACTGACAGCTGGACAGAAATAGAACAGGGCTGCCAGGCACTGGGGCAAAGAACAGGGTAATATGTTTGAAGCTTTAGTCTCAGGTAATTTAAATTTGGATAGGGAGGATGCCTGCACAACCCTATAAACTACTTAATAACTCTAAACAAAGAAGATACACGCTTCAAAGGAAAATAGAAAATTAGATGATTTGTGACAGCTCTCCAATTAATGCCTGAAATACCCCCTTTCTAAAATAAAGGTACAACATGATTTCAAACTCTCAGGCTTTATAGTACCAATAGGTGCTGTTGTTGTTTTGTAGTTTTTTTGTCTTTTAGAGACAGGATCTCACTATGCAGCCTTGGTAAGCCTGGAACTTTCTATGTAGACCATGCCTGCCTTGAATACACACAGATCCACTTGCATATGTCTCCCAAGTGCTGGCATTTCAAGGCGTGTACCACCACATTCAGCTATAAATGTTTTTTTTGTTTGTTTGTTTGTTTGTTTTGTTTTGTTTTTTTGTAACCTGGGCTATCCTGGAACTCTCCCTGTAGATCAGGTTGACCTCAAATTAAGAGATCCACCTGCCTCTGCCTCTACCTAAGTGCTGGGACTAAAGGAATGTGCCAACACATATGAATTTGTAATTTTTTTAAATAACACTACTGTTTGTGTGAAAAATGAAGCCAATATACATTTATCTCAAAGTCTAAGATGCATAAAAGCCAACAGCATGTGCAAGCGTGGTAAGTACACACTGTGTAATCAATGGCTGTTCACCACATAGACCACCTTCAGACTATTAAGTGTCCTTTTAGCAAACACAACAGGACATGAGCTTTGGAAGAAATGCCTCAGAGCAACATAGGGCAGGCCATGTTCTTCCATACTGCCCCTTAAGAGTGGAAGTCAGCACACCAGTGACTGTCTACCTGTCCTGAGGTGCTGCCGTCTCAGGGAGTTGATGAGAGAGGATTTGCCTACGTTGGGGACACCGATCACCATGACGCAGTACTCCAGGTTCTGTAGAAGCAGAAGAGTTTCAACTTCATCCCACCCAGCTGTGAAGCTCATAGCCCAGGGGAAGGGCTCATCAATACAAAGGGCCTGTGCTGACCAACAGGGTTGGTTCAGCTTTTCCCACTAAAGGAAAGTAAAAAGCCTGGGTCCTGGCTAGAAGACAGCCCAGCCCTCTGTATTAAAGAAGGCTCAGAATGGACAGGTAGGAAGGGACTGGGTAACTCCACATACCCACCCACAACTCCACATCCAACCAACCTCTGCCCGATGGTAGCGGTAACTGCACTTGATCAGTTCTGTAAGTTTTGGGATGATCTGCAACAAACAAGCCACATCTTCGGGTCACACACCCCTTACTGACCCACTTCCACATAACAGGATCAGGAACTCCATGTTTCTACTTAGCTCTTGATTAGGAGGGCAAAGATCTCATACATACCTCACTAAGGAGCTGAGACAAAAGCTTGGGCATCCAGATCACAGGTATCTAACAGTCCACCTGAGCCACAACTAACTGGATTCATTCACCCATTCCCAACTCAATCCAACCCAAGTAACCTCACATACCATGAAATAGTAGGGTGTCTACCTCAGGCGGGCTTCTACAGCAACTGTAACTACCTACTAGACAGTACACATATCAACTCATGGGGTTCCATCAAAACAATTGGGTAAATAAGTTACAGGGTTCTGCAAGAGGCTCTCATTACTTAGGACCACAGAATACTCCCTCAAAACTCACTCAGACTGTGAGCATATGACAGGAGACAGGAAGCCCAGGATATCCTGCACCCCAGGCAGCTAAAGCCAATTCCAGGATTTTATCCCAATTACTTATCAACCAACATGTAGAGAGGCTCACCTGCTTGATGTTTTCATCCTTTACACAGTTTGTGAAAATGACATTATTCAGGCCTTTTCCTTCTAAGTGCTGAACAATTTTCTGAAAGAGACATTTCTATTTTAAATACTAAATTAAAATATGAATGGTATGTCAGGCATGGTGGCACATGCAGACAGTTAGGGAGTTGCGTGTGCATGTTTGTGTGTATAAATCATTGCCAGAGAGATGGCTCAGTGGTTAAGGTCACTGACTACTCTTCCAAAGGACTAGGTTTGATTCCTAGCACCCACATGGCATCTAACAATAGTCTATAACAACAGTCCCAGGGAAGTTCTGGCTTCCATAGGCATGGCATAAGTGTGGTGTATAGACGTCCATACAGGTAAAATGCCCATATACATAAAATAAAAATAAAGCTTAACAAGTACACACACACACACACACACACACACACACACACACACACACACACACGGTGATACTAAAACTCAAGAATCTGAGCTTGGGGACAGTGAGACAGCTCAGCTGATACGGTACTGGATGCCAATCCTAACAACCTGAGTTTGGTCCCAGGGACCCATACAGTACAAGGAAAGAACCAACACCTCCAAGTTGTCCTGTGACCTCCAAATGTATGTCATGGAACATACATATCAACACACACAGAGTAAATAAGGGATAAATGTAAAAAATATGTTTTTTAAAAAGGAATTTGGCTGACCCTGGTGTCACTTTCCTTTAACCCCAGCACTCAAAAGGCAGACACAGGTGGATCTCTGAGTTTGAGGCCACCCTTGTCTCAATACAGCAAGTTCCAGATCATCAAGGACCACAGAATGAAATCACCTAATAAATAAATAAATAAATAAATAAATAAATAAAGTAAGTAAGTAAGTAAGTAAGTAAGTAAGAATCTAAGCTTGAAAGGGAACTGCAGTTGCATTTGTCTGCTCAGAGTCAACTTAAACTCTAGGGGCTGGGCAACAAGACGTGGATGCCAGCAAACACAATGGAGAGCCCAAACTCTGAGGACAATGTGCTCAAAAGAGCCCCTTGGACAGCAAAAAGGAAGAGCCCTAGGGCAGACATAGCTGTGATGTTTATGTACCTCAAGCTGTGCCAGGGTGAAGCTGAGGGGACACAGCCTGCTCAAAGGGACTCCAATGCTCCTGAAGATAAAGTGGGACTGAACCAAGTCACTCTGAAGCCTCGGCACTGAGCTCACAGGTGCTGGCTTCCCTGAGGAATGGCATCACTTTCATGTATGTGCTCTATCATCTGAGACTCCCTTTGTGGGGAGGGGAAACTGAGACAGGCCTTCACTGTGTAGCCTCGGCTGACCTGGAATTCAATATGTAGACCAAGCTGTCATGGAACTCATAGAGATCTGCCTGCCTCTGCCTCCCATATTTTGGGATAAAAGATTTGTGCCATCATGCCAAGCATGAGACTTCATTTTAAACTGAAATGATATTGAACCCAATCTGATTATAGAGAATAAGAAGTACTATAAGCCCAAAAGTATATTAAAGTTGACATAAAGTCATTAGACTTAATATTCAGCATAATCAGCATACATATTTTATTTATATTCATATATACCAATACATGTTTAAAATCAATATTATGTTTGGTCTACTGGCCACAAACTATAGTCAGTGTTTAAATAAACAAAAAAAAAGCAATTCATTGATGCAGTCAGTTTTTTTTTTCAGTTATTTGTTACTATACTACATATCATTAATATGATATAAATAAGATACTTGCCTCGGGGGCTGGAAAGATGGTAGAAAGCTTAAGGGCACTTGCAAGTTTGGCTTCCAGCACCCACACAACTCATAATTCTAGTTCCAGGGAATCCAACACCCTCTTCTGGCCCCTGTGAACACCAGGCACACATGTGTTGCACATGCACACATACAGACAAAACACTCACACACATAAAATACATCTATGAGGTGAAAAAAGTACTAGTCATGCCAGAGACATACGATCTCTGGTCTCTGTTAAGATTCATTCAGATGTCCCTCTGGTGTAGGCCATGGTGGTGGAGCCTAAAGTCCTTCAGAAGCCTGGCGCTCCTCTCACCTCCCACACCTTCCCAGTAGAGGGCAGTGTCCACCAGTCTGTAAAGGCTAGCATTTCAAGTGCAGAAGCAATCCCTAACAGATCAAGTCTCAACTAGTAAAAACAGGGGAAAGCAATTGAAGATAAACAACAAACAGGGCAGAGCCCAGATCATGATGAGTTCCCTAGGCCTTGCGGCGGGTGCTGCCACTGGATATCCACCACCTTGGATATCCTGACCTCCCATATAAGTTGTTCCTCTTCTGCATCATTACCAAAGGTTACCATGTGGGACACAGTAGACAGGGCATCCATCAGAAAGGCTCAGGGCACAAAGTGGTTACAGTGGTCACCAGGGCTCCCACAGGACACAACCAAGGTGTGTCCATCTTGAGCATTTATTTGGGCCATACGTTCATGCTTGAGGTAAAGAGCTGGTGCTGGGAAACCAGGCCAGAAGCCTCCTGCAAAGGCAGGAGTTGTTTTTCAGTACAGCCTAGCCAGGGGTATACCAGAATTCCTGTTGGTGGCTGTTACTGCTGCTGGCATCTGTGACAAGGCACTCACCTGCTGCTCTGTAAGATCTGCCAAATCCATTTTGTTAAGGATAAGCAAATGAGGCTTCAGACCAAGCAGCTCTTGGAACAGAGGGTTTCGACCTGAAAGTGGGATGTGCTGATGTTAAGGCAAAAACCCTGCCGAGCTTTACCAGTCGTCATTCAGCCAGGAGCTAAAGCCAGAGAAGCCCCATCTCAGAGCAAGTGTGACCATACAAGCCATCTTTCTGCCCCCAGACTTGGAAGACCAACCTCCCAAGTGGCTTGTGAAGAGTGCCAGGAGCTGATCAAGCAGGCCATTTTCATCCTAACTTCCCAAACAGATAATGGGAAGAATAAAACCAAAGTTATAAGAAAACTACTGTTTAGATTCCAGGGAATTTAAGTTTAAAAAGAAATGGCCTGAACACCTAAGAAAAGTGATTCCTCTGAAGTCCTAACTATATTACCTTGAGCACCACCGATCCTGGCTCCTGAAGATGCCACTTCCTTCCAGCTATCCTCAGCTACCAGGCTGATGTGGGGCTACATGTGACATTAACATACGCAAGATGGGGTTTCTTATCTTCACAGTCTGCCCTTCAGCCCTCCTGGTAGAGTCTAGTACAAGAGTCCCAAGGCCTCTTCCACCTGCCCCATCTTGGTAGCCGGGGAAGCTGCAATCTCCACCCAAATAATCCTCCTCTTACAATTGACCGATCCATTCATAAACCCAAGTCTCCAGGCTCCTCTCCTAAAATGCTACAGAAACCAGTATCCAGGACACACCTGCTACCACATCCTAGAAACAGTTGAATGTTCCAGAAACTAAAGAAGAACAGCCCTCTCATCATATATGCTGAAAAATGTTTTACTTTTTAATAACTTAATATAGCTAGGAATGGTAGTGCACACCTTTAATCCCAGCAAGCAGATCTAAGCGAGTTCCAGGTCTATATAGTGAGTTCAGGCCAGTCAAGGCTATAATGAAAGATCCTGTCTCAAAATTAATAATAATAATAATAATAATAATAATAATAATAATAATAATGCTGTCACACCTGGCGGTATGTGATATTTTGGTGATTAGACATTTATACCCTAAAACAAATGTGCCAGGTGTAGTATTGCTAAAGTCCCAACTGTGAAAGCTGAAATAGTCCCTCATTCTCCATTACTATTTCCAGACTCCCAACAGGGGCAGCAGGTCCCCACAGGACCTGGGACTATTGGCCTGGTATCCCCATGCTCTTCTCAGGCTGAGGAAGTAGGATGAGGAAGAACTCACATGCCAACAATTGCATCACAGAAACAAAACACAGCTTAAATGCGACAAAATTATCTGAGAAGCAAGGGTCAATGGACATGATAATGACCTGCCAAACCTTCATATAAGGATGGGAGAAAAGCCCAGGTTGGCAGGACCTGGGTTTCATAATTTACCCCTAAAAATATCAAAGTAAACCAGAGGCTGAGACAATGTATCAGATGGGAACTTAAAATAAAAACACAAACCTGGGTCCCATCCCTGAGATTCTGATCCAAAAGGGGGCCTAGCAATTACAGTGAAAGTCTCCCAGTAATTCTGGTATGTAGTGAAAGTTGAAAAACACCGTTTTATGCGCCCGTAATGACAAAAGAAGCTATCGGCAGCTGTAGACATATAACTGGACCTGAGGCAGAACAGACTAGATTGTCCAAAGGAGATAGAGTGAGAAGGATGCCTCCTTCCTGATGCCTCCACAGTCTAGCAGAGGTGCTCTCTCTCCCACAGCATGAAAGGATATCCGGGCATCGTGAACCTCGATAACACAATCCACTAGCTTCAGACTGCTCTGCATCTTCTTCAGTCCTGGAAGGCAGAAGGGCATAAGGAAACAGCCCAAGTGGGGGGCAGATGTAAGTGGTCCTAAGGAAATGCATCTGAGAACCAACCCATCAGGGCACACCTGGGTGGATCTGGGTAGAATACTTCACATTATGAGGGTCTTGGGTGTTGATCTGGAGGCCCTTGATGCTTCGCTGACTTAATGATCTCAACACATAAAAAAACATCGAGGCTCCCAACCACCAACCACCCTCCCAATCACACTCTCGACGCCATTCTGCCACACTACCACCTCGCATGGCAGCGGCAGCAAGATGGCAGCAACCAGCAGCCCAGGGACGCACTATGCCAGGTGTCTGTCTGGGGACAAACTGTGACCTCTACACTCAGACATTACTCATGTGAAACGGCTTCCATGTGTCTTAACCGGACCACTCAGTGCGACTCAAGGTTATCAAGCATAGAACAACTCTCCAACCTGAGGCTAGGAAGGCGACCAAACGGCCCGCCCGCGCCTCCCGCTAGCCTCACCCTTGGCCATGTGGCCGGGGAACCAACGTGCCACGTCGTGACCTTGCAGAGGGAAGCACTCGCGCCAAGCGGCCCCGACGGCACCCCATGCCTGCGGCCACAGCCTCATAGCAAACTGATAGTGCTGGTGTCGGAAGCGCTCCCTGACGGACCGACCCCGCGAATCTGGATCTGCTCTCAACAGTTCCGGCGCTCTAGGGTTCCGTGCACGACTGCGCGTGCGCTTGACTCTGAGCCCTCAGTGTGGGCGGGATCGATGTGCCTGGGCGGGTCTGGTGCTGCCCTAGTCTCAGGATTCCTGAGGTTATGTAAGGTCCTCTTAAGTGATTTGAAGATTTTTTTTCCCCCCTCTTTTTTTTTAAAGAGACCTTATTGAGTATATGTGACATTTGTCTTTATATCGGCTGTGATAGCACACACCTTTTATCCCAGAGGCAAACCAGTAGCCCTCTGCGTTCCAGCCTGGTCTACATAGTGAATTTCAGGCAAACCATAGCTACATGGTTGAGACCGAAAAAAACAACAAGACTTAATTTTATTTATTTATATTTATTTCAAGTGTCTGTGTATGCCACAAGTTGGCAGGTACGGGGCCCCAGAGGCCAGAAGACAGTGATCCTCTGTAACTGGAATTTTATAGGTGGTTTTAAGTTGCTGAGTGGGTACTGGGAATCAAACTTCAGTCCTCTGTAATAACCTCCAAGCCATCTCTCCAATCCCAGTCTGGAAATTCTTCTCTACATTCCAAATATTTCAAACTAGACGGTATAGCGTGGAGGATGACAGCTTACCTAGCATGCCCAAAATTCTAGATTTTCATAGAGAAGCTAGGAGGATTTGACCTGCTGGCAATAAGAATGGGGTTCCTCCATGGCGGGAAGTTAACCTGACAAGCCTAGGAATTTAAACTTAAAATCTGCCCCCTGCCCTTTTTTTTTTTTTTTTTTTTCTTATTTTCCTTTTGAGACGATATCTCACTTTGTAGTCTATTCTACAAAACCTAAAAAGAAAACTTTAAATTAAAAGTCTCAAACGGGTATAACAGACATACCAGCAACACGTGAGATAGAAGCAAGGTCGGAGTTCAAAGTCAGCCTGGGCTACATGAGACCCTGTCTTTAAAAAGTCTTATTTTTCCCTCATGTAAGTCAATGTAGTGAAATTTAGTTGTCCCCTATCAGTTCTTGGGCCTTTCTTAGAACTTTCAAGTGTTTTAAATATTCAGTGCCTTCATTTTCTTTTCAAGTGTGACATATTTTAATGTAACTGTTCCAAGGACTGACTACAATCATTAATACCATGAACCTGAAGTGCTCTTCATTGATGCAAGACTAAACGTAAATTCAGCTGCTCCTAGTAGAACAGGCCCGTGATACCTGCTAATTATGGAGGGCACTACCCTAAGAGAGACCCTATCTCAAAATAAAAAGGGCTGACATGTAACTCAATGTTATAATGGTTGCCTCAAATGCAGGAAGCCTTGGGTTTAGTCCCCAGTCTCACACACACTCACACACACACACTGTAACTCTAGCACTTGTGAGGCTGGGGCAGAACAGAAAGTGCAAGGCCAGCCTGAACTACAGAGTGAAATGTTGTCTCAAAAGAAAAAGATGCAGGAAAGGTGCCCACATTTTAAGTTTAAAGCTCTAGGCATGTCAGGCCAATGGAGGAGCCCCTTCCCCAGCAGCTCAAATCCTCCTGGCCTCACTTTTTGGCAAGCCTGTCTTCCCCACCTTAGTCTGTGAAAACTAAAATGCCTCCCTGAGTGTCAACAGTGAAGACCTTTGCCCTTGAAGGGTCTATATTCTTTCATAGTCCTCAGGCTACAGACTATCATAAAAACCTACTGGAGTTGGCTTTCTTCCGTGGTATCCCATGAAGGACAGTCTGGTGACATAAAGCAGGAAGTGTTCTTGATGATGAAACATGCTTCCTGACAGACTTGTGGGATGGAGGAAAGGCAAGCCTTGAAGACCTCAAGGACGAACAAGGAGCCAAGCAGGGCTGGACTGGACTGTGAGTGAACAGGCAAGCTTGGAGCTGTTTCGGAAATATAAGTCTAATTGATACAACCAGGAGGGGTGGCACGCAGCCCTTCTGGAGCCTGGGGCCAGCAACAGTGCCATGCTGTGCAAGAGTGGAACAAGGGTCTTGGCAAGTTCCTACAGCTCCCTCTGGAGCACCACCTCAGTGGTTGCGCCAAGCTCTCCAGCTCCACCATCCAAAGGAGATGTGCAAGCTCTTGTGACAGGTACAGCATGGGGAGTTAATAAGTCTAAGTGTTGTGTCTCCTCTATAACAGGAGCAACAGACCTTGTCCTCTGGAGCTGCTGGGAGGATACAGTGAGACAGACTGCAAAATATCCAAGAAACCTACCCAACATTGCCTAGCTCCCCAACACACTCCCCATATCTACCCCAACACTCCTGGCTCCCCAGGACCCTTCCTAACCCTACCTCCATATTCTGTTTCCCCAATACCCTCCCTGTATTTGGCCAACCTGCTCCCCCAATAATCTCTATAAATTTTTTTCCTTCACCTCCAAAAACCCCAAGACAGGCCAGGATAGGATGCCACTCTCTGCTCCACGCAGTCTTCTCGATTCTACACATTCATCCATAATGTGGTCCTGAACAAAAGCAGTGGGAACCCTGGAAACACCTTCAAAAAACAGGACAAAGGATAACCTAAGCCCCAAAGAACCCAGAGGGGAAAAACCATGAACTGGGGACAGACAGGCCAAACAGGACCTGGACTTGGGTGGGAACTGGATGAGAACTGGATGTAGGATGAGAAGGACTCTAGACACAGATGGTGTTAACTGTTTTATGTGTGCAACAACACAGTGGGGCATCCATGATCAGACCAAGCCAGACTCCAACAACAGTTATAAGAAATGAGATCAGTTTCCCAAAATTAAAACTACCAGTAAGATCCCAAAACCTCAACCCAGACTGAAAACTACATATCCAACAGACAGAGGACCTTGGTCAGCCCACATGACACTCACAGCCTGGGCCGGGGCTGCTGTACCTGTGAGTCCCACAGACTAATGAGGCGATCAGCTTCCCTCCAGCCAGACAGGAGGGCCCCGTGTGTGGTGGAATAAAATGTCCGATGTGTGGCTTCCCCAGCGAAGAGTATCTGGAGCTGCAGAAAAAGACCAAATTAGAACAGGGTGTGAGTGGGACAGCTGTGGAGAAATACACAGAAAACAGAGCCCCTGTCCATCCATCTGCAAATGTGCAGAAGACACTGCCCATGCCAGGTAGGTGTGAGTACTAAGAGAAGCCCAGGCGGTAGAGCCGGGCACCATGACCAGAAGAGTTGCTGAACTACCATGGTAGAGTGGGACTAAACCTAATAACCCATGCAGTGGTGAGAAGTCACTGCCTGCAACTAAAAGTGACATGACAATGAGCAAGCTGACAGGGACCATGAGACACCTGGGGAAAATGAACCATGAATACCAGGTGACATTGAGTAGCTGCTTAGAGATACACACCAAGACATCTGTGTGGAGGCACACTCGGTAATTAAGGGACAGTGGGCAGACCATGGGGGGCGGGGGGTGGGGGGAAGCACCCGCTGCTCTACCTACTTCTCTACAATTGATGACTTCCATAATTAAATTGTTTTGAAACAGGGCCTCACTATGCGGCTGTGGCAGTGGCTGGCTTGATCCTCACTTTGTATATCAGGCTAGCCTAGAACCTATAGAGACCTTTCTAGCTGAGATTACAGAGGCATGAGCCACCATGCCCACCTAAATGTCTTAAAGTGACAGTGTGAATACATGCTTTCAATATTAGAATCAGATGGAGCGCTATGGGGAGTGTCAATAAGTGGCACAATGCCTGCCTAGCATGCCCAGGGCTTCATCCCCAACACAAAAGAAAAAGAAATAAAATATCTGGAAGCATAGTCTGGGGAGAAGATGGTTGTTCCTATACTTCTGTTTCCTTTTATTTCTGTAGCCAGTACTGTAAAATGCCTTAAGCCATGGTATGTGTAATTCTGATTTGAATAACACATTTTAAGTTTTTTGTTTGAGTTTGAATTTGTTGAGACATAGTCTTACTAGCCTTAGCTGGCCCATAACTTGTTCTATTGGCCAGGCTGGCTGTGGACTCAAAACAGTCCTCTTGCCTCTGCTTTCTGAGTGCTACAATTATGAGTGCATGCCAGTATATTCGACTTTAAGTTACTCTTATTTTCAAAAAGAAAACAGCTCTGAGTCTTTGGGATCCCTGCCCCACCCATCACTCACACCACCTCATCTTTAGGCCTTAGTTAGCAGCAGAATCCCCAGTGCCTCACACCAAAGCAGGCCACCATACCTGGGTACCAGTTCCATCCTCGGTAGGGAGGGGCTGAGCCAACAGATCTAGGTCATCACCAGTGCTGCCAACTGCCACATAGCTGTAGGAACCTCGGGTATATGGGGCACTGTGCCAACGAGACCTCAACACACTCTTGGCCGCTGGCAATTGTGGGTTTCCTGAAATAGAGAGATATGGGATGTTAACTCAGAATTCTCACTAACCTGGAAGAAAACCAAGTCAGTATGTGTTTTCCTAAGAGGCAGCCTGTCTCAGCTGCTCTGACAGCCCCACTCAGGGACAGCTGGTACCAATAAGCAATACCATGAGATACCTCATGAAAGTGAACTGCACACCCTTCTGAACCTCAGTTTCCCTGCCTGAAAGCATCTGACTAGGGACAACTGCATGTATTTGGGGTGGAAGATTTTTAGAATATAAAATTAGGGAGAGTTTACAAACCATCACTAGCCCACTACCCAGGAAGAATTCCAGGAATTCTACTCTGGAAATATACAGTGCAGGATTCATTCTTCTCTGTTCTGAGTTTACTTCCTGTTTAGAGACTGGCCAATAAGAATAACTTATTGCTGGGGAGTACCTGTCACTCTCCGAAGTACTTGGGTTAGAGACAAAAGCACTTCTTCATCCGACAAAGTCTCCATAAACTCCGACTCGAGCCCAGCAATAAACCCACAGAGCACATGTGAAGACCTGCATGCAGAGAAAGATGGGAATGGGTCTGCTGGCCACAACTCACTGTGTCAGGGCCAGCACCACCCAGAACAGTAGCCCGGGGCTCTCCAGGGCCTCAGCTATTTTCACAACATTAAGGCATCATGTGATGTCTTCATCACTTGTACCAAT